CTATGCTAGGTCCTAGGCCATTCATTAAAAGACAAATAATATAGCCTACAGGCCTCGCACGTAAACCTATAGTATTATATCTAGGCCTAGGCTAGGTCCTAAGTGTTAGCCTAGTAATTGTACTAGGCCTAGTAGTACTGTCAAGGCTAGGTCTAGTCCCAAGGCCCGGATAGCTACAATCAGTAGTATGCTAGGCCTAGGCCCTAGCACTACCCCCTGGGACTACTAGGCTTCTTAGGCCTCTGGGCAGTTATCTAGACCTTGTCTTATCTTAGGCTAGGCCCTAGTCTAGCTATAGGCCTTTGGTCAATTTATGTACAATAATCTTAAAAATACAAAATGAATTACAATAGAATATACTTGAATTACTATCATAACTCCGTGCCACGTAGTGGAAATCATAAACAAAGACAAACCCCAGGCTTCCAACACTTTGTTTATGTTTCTCTGCTGCTGCTGCTCAATGAAAAACTTTAGTGCCGCACCGTGCCTGGTGGTTCGATTCTCGATGAATGCGACGACAGCATGCAAAAGGAAGCCGATCGTGACCAATCGTAGATAGAGGGCGATCCGATTATTTTCATGGCAGGTTTCATGGTTTCACCAGCCCACTGAGAACATCCCGGTCCCTGTTTCGGTTTCCGATACAATATATAAATGCAATGCAACGGCAAAAACACAGAAACAACCACAAAAACGCCGATAAACAATACTGTCTGCTTTAAAATCTGTAAACGTTAATTTACTTTGACAGATAAAAAAAAACACTAATAAGTAGGCCTATTTTTCCACAGACTTCAGTTTACTACTCTGTACAAAAACCTGTAAAAATTCCATGCCTGTTAATTGGCTAGAAAATTTAGTTTTTAATGAAAACTAATGATTTCCCCTACTTAAACAAAGAAATTGAAATAAGTTTTAAAGCTTATTTGCATATCACAGACGGTCTTCAATAGGTCTATATAATGCACCTCAGAATAGACAATAATACTTTTAAATAAATCAATATAAAACACGTAATGTGTATACCTAGGCCTACATAAGAATAAAATGATGATTGCATTTGATAAAACTTGAACTTGAAAAGCCAAATGCACAATATAGGCCTAACAAATATTATGATAAAATAAACTATTCAGGGGCGGATCCAGAGATGTCCAAATGGGAGGGGGTGGCGAAAGGGGCGGGGGAGAAAGTTGGGCCGGAGACAACACTGTTCTAGGGGGTTGGGGCATGCCCCCGCTTAATCCTCCCCTGCTATTATGAAATGAATTACATACTCATGGCCGATGCTTTTCAACGTTATGATTCATATTCTTAATTTTTTTTTAATATGTAAAATAAATAAGGCTAATTGCTATATTGTATCATTATTTAAAATTTAACCAAGTCATAGCAGAACTGTACAATTTAACAATGCAATATTGAATAATGGGCCTATTATTTTGTCTATTGCAAAGCTAATGAACAAATTTAGCCTAAGATTACTGTAAATGGAATTAGCGTACTGAAGTACGCTGGGAATTTGCGGAATTCGAAATCGTCGTCATCGTGAATGAAAGCGAGGTTATATTCTGAGATCTTTATGTAAACTGCGCCATCTTTAGTTTTGTTAAGACTTCTTCATGATAAAATCGTATTGTAAATTGCGAACATTGAATGGACGCTGAGGGGTGGCGGGATTTAAAAGGTGTCACTACAAACTTGATTAATGTTTATGTAATGACGGAAAAATATATTCTGCACATGACAACGTAAATTTCTTTGGACATAAACTTAAAGGATATTTTAAAACGCCGCCGTACTGAAAAAAAAATATTTTGAGAGAAAATGGAGGTGAGATGAATTCTAGTTGTTTTAAGATAATACATAAGCCTGTCTTAAGTGTTATGAATATGGTAATCAATATGTTATCGTGTATATAACTAGGTCTCTCCACAAAACCTGGTAATCTTATAGGGTTGAATGAATGACCATCTAGGGACTTACATAAGAAAGTGTTTGTCCAACGATCATTAAATACCGGTACGGTTGGCCTAATTACTCTATAGACTTTCGTATAATTATGACATACACATACTATTACTGTATTTATTCGAACAATTTATTGTTGAGATGTGTTTTGTGGAGGGGCGTTTATTCGGGGGAGGTGCTTATTACGTCCCTTATAATTTCACTGTTGTGGAACACAACGTATAATTACCGCCAAAATGTGTTATTCCAAGATCATGAGACTTATTGATCCCAATCAGGTAGAAAAATATGTAATTTTACTGGAGTAAAACTACATTACATTAGATTTGTTTAGTGTCATTGAGGGATGGGGTGGGGGGAGGGGTTTATTCGAGGAAAAAATAAACGCCTTGTGGCGCTTATTCGAGGGAGGCTTTTATTCCAAATGGGGCTCTAGAGGGGGAGTTTATTTGAGGGGATATTTATTGATAGTGGGGCGTTTATTCAGAGCGGGGCGGTATTTGCAATGGTATATTATTACGTCCTCCTCCTGTATTAGAATGATACTTTGGTCTACAGCATAAATGAAGCATGGTTAGTTTTTAGTATTTGAATGGAAAACGAGCATTGGCACAGTATTCCAAGTAAAAAACGATCTAATTAAAACGTTTTATAGGGATCGAGAAAATGTTTATCCATGGCCCTATCCTAAAGTTCAATCAGTCAGTAAGTGATGTATGGAGGCTATTTTTCCATCGAGCAAGTGTCTTATTGATAAGCCTAAACAGGCTAAGTTGATTGCTTTGAAATTTATTAAGTTTGATGTTGTTTTTTCATATTTAGCAGATAATTAGTCCAGAGGAGTGTTATTTTGACGATTCAAGCGAGCGAGACCAGACGATACTCCAATCTTTACATTATGCGCGAAGCGAAAACGTACTAACTGACGTCATTTTGTGTGCAGACGATCGCCAGATTCCTTGTCATCGGATAGTACTTGCCGTTTCCAGTGATTATTTCATGGCCATGTTTTCATCAAGTTTCAAAGAAAGCAAAATGACGAAGATTGATCTGACGCATTTGAAAGGGAAATCTCTAACGATCTTAGTTAATTATTTCTATTCTTCTGTTCTGAAGTTTCCTAAATCCATGGTTCGTGATATTTTAGAAACTTCTGATCTCATTCAACTTTCTCCAGTCGTTGAACACTGCACAGACGTTATTTTGAAAGACATGCAGATAGAAGAGTGTTTAGACATTTTTCAGTACGCAGATGATCGAGTTTCTTTGAAGGATTTGAAAGCTGGTGCATTGAAAATGATATGGGAACAGTTTCATTTTGTAAAGGATATGGACGAGTATTTAGATTTGACAGCAGATTGTCTCATGGATATTATATCAAGTTCCTGTCTGATTTCAAGAGAAGAAGATGTTTTTGATTCTGTGATTACGTGGTTCAACCATGACTCTAGTCGACGAGACGATTTATTGAGGATTATCGAAAATATACGGTTTAATTTGATGTCAGGCGAATATTTGGAATTGATCGAAAGCTTTCTAACAAACGATCTAAATATAACATTAACTTCTATCAAACATGCAAAAGAATTCCATTCATGTTCATCAACAAAAAAACACCAGCTACTAACAAATAAAATGAAGGAGAGGCGCTGCCATCAAGATGTAGTGGTTTTCTATAAGATGATGCCTGAATCTGTTGGAAATAGCAAATCAGAGATGACTTTCGCCACCCCAGAGGTCTTCAGAGAAATTGTACAGCAGGGTGAGTACGATGAAGAGGTAGTTGAGTTCGCTCAAGTGACACTTACACAGGATCCATTATTGAGGATCTCCGAAGATGTCAAGGCTATTACTCAGTTTGGAAGCAGTGTCTTTGTTTGCACGGCTACGAGTGTTGAAGTCATTGATCCCAGAACCGGTGTCAGATCATTTGTAGAAATTACTTTGCCTGAATACACAGAGTGGCACCCACTCACAGCTGCGACACTGGAGGGACTGGTTTACGTTATTCAGGGAAACAATATTGGTAGAGCGAATTCCGTAGTGTGTTTTGATAAGTGGCGGAAAGTGTGGGATAAATGTGCCAGCTTTAATATTGAGGTGTCGTCTCCTACATTGGTTGCATACGATGGTGAGATGTTTCTTTTTGGAACAAACAACTCAGGAACAATTGTGCAATCCTATGACCCATGTATAGACAAATGGCATCAGGGAAATTCTTTGACAGGATGTCATTGCTTTTCTGGTGGCTCTGTGTTGGTTCCAGCTGACGAGGAAGAGCTACCTAGTATCTGCGTAACATGCCCGGATCATATTCACACATACAACCCCCACTCAGATGTTTGGCAGACAATAGACTCGTGGGCGCAGCTTGCAACATGTGAAGAACTTTCTGGGCCACTTATGCACTGCGTACCAGTGAGTTGCAATGGTAACTGTTTCTTGTATTTCGATGACACACCACCAGACAGTCAAGGTTCACACTTAGCTGTACTCAGACTATCCCCATACACAGGGAATTGGACAACATGTCAATTTGAATATGAGAGTCAGGAAGTGAGGGAAGAAGGTGAACAAGAAAGGCACGAAGTGGGGTATCAACTGAAAACCAGCGAGAAAAGACACATGCTTCCACCACCTGTGGGACACTTTGAAATTCTCAAGTGCATCACCATTTGTCGAAAATGACATAAAAGGGACATTATGTGCCTTCACTTGATACATCTTTCAGATATTAACTTTAGCTGATGGCAACTTTATGTTATATAATTATACTTCAACTAATATGTAACATCAGCTCTGTTGCTGTTTACAGTGAAAAAGACCAAATTCTCTGTGTGAGTGTTTGCGTGAAAGTGATTGCTTATGAAGTACATCAACATTGCTCTCTTAAAATAACATTAAGATAATTTGTAAATAGTAATGCCTGAACTAAAGGAACGACTCTGTAAAAGGATGCATTTTTTCCAAACCTGTAAAATGGCAGGGTTATTGGGCATTTCCGAAATGTCAATTACACTTAACAACTGACCAATCAGAACATGGCCAAGAACATGTGCACGTCCAACAAACACGCTTTACATACGTTTATGCTGAGGATTTGTGAGACGTTGGCAGGAACATCCAAGGGTCAGAGATAAAAAACTTGTTACATGTCAGTATCTGACAAACCATTAAAATTTCATCATGTAATCAACGATTGTTCCTGCTGACACTAAATGATATTTAAAGAAATCTGTAGAATTTGACTGGTAACATCAAACTGATCTCAATATTAAATAAGACTCGTATAAACCTCACAATTAAAATTGGTTTATCTCAGGGTTTTATTTACCTCTTGTAACCAAGTTTGCACTCAATTTGGACATTCTGTTATAGTAATTTTATACAAGTTTCAACAACAAAAATTTTATAATGATTAAGTATTATTATTATTACATTTATATTGACTGCTCTGCACCTTGGTGGTAGCACATATATTATAATAAATATATATTAAATTAAATGTTGAAATACGTCAGTATGCAAGTTTTCATTGTTAATTGGCTTCTTTTTTTTTTTTTTTTGGCTACTTTTGTCATTGTTAACAGCATCGAGTGAGCATTATTGTATGGATTTAAATTATTAACGTCTGGTAAACTCATCAGTTTCCCAGACATCTATCAACACGCAAACATGCATGTTCTCCTCCAACCCAACCCTAAAATGTATTAAGAGCACTATCAAGTCAAATAAAACTCCTACCCAAATAATAAACTTATAAATAAAAATAAAATAAAGTTGTACCCATTGTGGACAATGCATCCATTTTTGGTCAACACGTACCGGTTTTATATATTTACCAGACCTTGTCCACTCCCCAGGGTTATTATGTACACTCAGTACATTGTGCATAAATAAATATGTTCAATGCCACAACATCCTACCAGGTTACCATGTTATTATATTAATATGTGGGAACTTGTTGGCTTGGATACCAACTTAAAATCAACCAAAATTATATACCATTCTAGTATTCATGCAAACCTTCTTCATGTTGGTAATTCCTCTATTAGAAATATATATTAATATGCAATCCTAAATATATAGACTAAATATATATTCTTAATCAACAAAGGTCCTGGGTTCGATTCTGGCAAAATGCATAAGATTTATATCATCACCAAAATAATATATAATAATACTAAATATATATAATAGAAATACAAATAAAATGGGAACTTACAAAGTGATTTGACCAATGGTAGAAATTCCGGGTTGTTACTAAGAGGTAGCACTGAGCACTTGAATGGTGCAATCACAGGAGGCAAGCTGAAATACTGTGCAGGAAAAGTAAAATTATATAAGCAACTTCATATATATATAACATAGTTAAACAATACATTCATGACAAATACAGTCCATCTATGAAAAAATGTCAAAAATCAAAGTCCTATATAATGAGCCAAAAAAAATGATACAGTAGAACCCCTATTAAGGGGACACCTTCAGGACCACAAAAATATATACTTCATAGGGGTGAACCAAAGGTGCCGTTCTAATAAATTACATTAAAATGTATTTACAGTATTAATTGAATATAAACATTTAAGTATTTTGTGTTACATTATCTTACCGTTCTTTGTGCATCTCCTTCTCTGACCTTGAAGTTGTGTTCAAGGATTGCGTACATGATACGTCCGACACCGAACGATGGTTCGATCACCCCAGGTGTTATTTCTTCGACTAAAAAATATTAATTTCAAATATTTGTATAAATTTCGGAAACTGAAGCTTTATAATGTCTAAAACAACTGGGGAAAAGCTGGAGTACAGAAAAAAAAGTAGAAAAGCACCAAGAAGGGGTAGACAATGAGGTAGAAAATACTAAACTACTGTAGGTTAAGAGGATAATGACCAAGGGTAGGACCTCAAATAGGGGTAGCAGGATACTAAACAAGTGTACACAAGTTCAGTACAGTGGATGCAAGAAATATTCAAAGATGAAGTGTGGTTTTTCAATTAAACAGCACATTAATAGTATTAGTATTGTTTTTTGAATGGTGGTATCTGCTTATGATCTCTCTCTCAGAAATAATCATCAGTAGTCACAGTAATGTCTATGGTTACCATATTTTTTTCAGAAGACACAGAACAGTAACAGTAACATGCTGAAAAATGTCAACTCACCATGAACTTTCTTCTGATATTTCTTAATTTGTACCATATCTGGCTTCAAGACAAAGGTTTTACCATCAGCTTCAACAGAATATTCTCTACAGAAAAAAATAGACAAAATTCAGTAATTATTTATTTATTAATTTTATTTCCAAAAAACAAGTAACTTGCTTATGTGACTGTTTTAAATCATTAGAAATATTTTTTTAATTTTTTTTCTCGCTATATTCGAACCTCCGACCTTGAGGTTGGAGGCAAGAGAGCAGTGTATCTTAGTGTGCTTAACTGGTATCAACCACTGTCTATGTGCTGAAGCTTAGAAATTCTTCCGGACCATTATTCCTTGTTTAAGTTCATACTGTAGGTGTTCTCGCAGAGTGGAGATGAATAGCTCTTCTTCCTAGGGTCCTGGGTTAAATTACTGTAATAGCAGGACTTTTTCTTGACTCCACTCCCTAAGCCCATAAAGAGACTTCGCTGATTAAAGGACCACATTATTCCATGTATTTAAAGAGGGGCCCTTGAATACCAGCCAACCTTCTAGGATACGCTGGAAGGGTCACCACCTATAAATATGAAATGCAAGTACAAAAGCACACTGTCTGTCAAAAGGAGACACTTAAGCCATTAGTGCCATGTGCAGTATGGCCTATTTGAATGTTACAGAATGCGGGACTTGCACTCTTAAAAAAAGTAAGGGGAGCTTACCCGTTGTCTTTGAAAGCGTTCTCAATTTTCAGCGTGTCTTCTTCTGTATATGTTGCTAGGAGGCTCATTATTGACTTTGCATCTTTCTTGAAAGCCTTTCCCATTACACTTTTTTGTGGAACAACTTCAACAACATCTTTGATAATGTATTTGAAAGGCTATTAAGGAAACCAATGTTTCATTATGAGCCACCTAAGGCACATTTGCAAGGCATTAGATGAATATGTAACAATCATGTCTTGGTGTGCTTTACAGTTGCCATGTGCAATTTCTAGTTTGACCTTAAATATCATATTATCCTTATTAACATAATACACTTGATTTCTGGTGCGGACAATGATTACATATTACATTACTCAAAGGTTTGCCCTCTGGATGAGGTATACCTATTCAATCCAACTACTTTATTGCAATCTATCATTGTGAAGGTAAAATGTAGAAGATTGAATGCTACAAAGTAAGTAAATAAAAGCAAAGGATATTGGCTCAGGTAGATTTTTTTCTGCAACTAGTGGCACCTTGCTGAACTTCATATGGCAGCATAAATCGTAGCAAGAACGATCAGCACAGCCTACACACTCTACCCAGCCCTAGAAGAATGGCAAATACAGAAATATAAGAATATACAGGCATATATAATTTTCATAAATAGATACACAACATAAAAGAATATGCTTTTGTTATGAATCTGTATAAATAAACACGAGTCAATAATTAGCCATTACATAATGGCCACCACTAACAACTTGATATTGAGGATCATTATTCTGTGATAATGTTATTTTCTCAGCAAAACATAAAAGTTTTTTGAACATACAATTCAAATGAATAATAATAATAATAATAGTAATAATTGATAATTTGGAAATTTAATTTTTTTTATTGGTATGTAGATTAAAACAAGTTAGAACTTACACGCGTCATTATTTACTGACAGGTACTATTCTCAAATAAATCTCAAAAATAAATGGACACTTACATAGGATACTCTGCACTCAGCGTCCCAGCAGTCACACGCATAGTGAGCCATCTCATTCTGCATGTGTTGCCTAAATCGCAACTTAGCTGGGTCGACGCCTACCTTCGTTAGGAACAGGTATGTACGTCCGATAAAATAACCTAGAACCTTGCTCTTGATGATGCCCTATACAAAAAAACATATAATGATTTTAGAAAATAAGCATAAATTAATAAGTGACAATATGTATTAAACTCATTATTGTTTGAACTACATATATTTAATTGTTTATATAGGATCAAATAAGGGATAAATTTCTAAGACACAGATCAAAACAAATCAGTTTTTGCTGATTTACGGATGACAAAAAAACTGTTGTATACTCATATTTAGCCATGATGTGCCTATATATGGTCATGTGATGTCATCCAGGACAGGGCTTAATACAAAAAGTCCTTAAATTTTCTAACAGATAATTGAAGGATCCAGAAAAAACTATATTACTATTTTTTTGCGTTGGTAATCAACAGAAAAAACAATTTTTCTCTATTTTTTATTTGAAAGTAATAAAAAAACATATGAACTTTAAAATTCCCATATATTGGATGCTACTTCAACAGAAGACAATAAATCTTAATCATAATAAAGCTAACTACATTGCAATTTCTAGGTTAAGTTTGGTACCTTATCAATGGCCTCCCCAATGGTTGTTGTAACAGAGGATTTACCGGACATCTGTTCATCTACAGGAAAGAGGGTCAGGGACAGACCAGCTACAGACTCAAAGTTTGGATGATCTTTGTTGGAAGGATCTATAAAGTGCTCTATCTCACACATTGTGAATTCTCTGAAATTTTAATGATAAAAAATACATTAACTGATTATATATAATAAATGTGGTAACCAATTTCCATTCAGAAATATTTTATATCACCAATCGTTCCTATCAACAATATCACTATGAATCATTATCATCATTTGTTGTTCTCAATAATTATCAATCGTTATCATTAATTAATGTTAACAATACTATTACTATGTGTTTATGGCATGATTGTTGATATAATTGTTGAAAGTGAATTATAGCATAAATTAGAATGGATAAGCCTCATCTTCAATAGGCACAAAAAAAAAATGTATCAAACCTGACTCGTATGAGGCCAGACCTAGGGGAGATCTCATTCCTGAAGGCCTGACCAACCTGAGCTGCAGCAAATGGGAGTCGGCCTTGGTTGAATTCAAGGAGCCTTTTAAAGTTGACAAATATTCCTTGCGCTGTTTCTGGTCGGAGATATCTAGTGACAATTCAATTTTAAATACAATCTCATTTGAATATGAAAGAACATTCAAACAGTTTTAAAAAGCATAACAACACTTTGATAAGTAATCATCTTATATGTCATAATTTATTATTGCAATACTTTCTCATGTGCCTGCAAAACTCATCAACTTACCCCTCAATCCATGCTACCAAGATGCTCAAAGTTTAAAGTTCACTAAATTCCCTCTGCAAACACCACCATCTTACAGCTAATATAATGCTCACTAACTCACCCTTGTAATCCGCTTCCAGGACCAATGTTGGTACCAAACATCAGATTAAATTCCATTGGGTCCGACAGAGGATTGTTTGTGGTTGGTGACACAACATTATATGTTTTGAACATTTCTGTGAGTGCATCCTTATCAAAATTATCCAACTGCGAAATAACTCCGAGGCATTCATTCTTCTTGTCGTCTGTGCAACCCTTTTCTGACATCACTTTTTCTAGATGAGCTGAATGGCATAGTTGTGATACCATTAATATATTTAAATATCATTTTTAGTATATATTTGATTGATGAAAACATTTGCTATTAGAGACATATACACATTAGATCCTCCATTCTTAACCAGCAGGTAGGAATTATAAGTTGGTTTACAAGTGGGTCATTCAAATGTACATGAAGCATAAGTCACTTCAAAGTTTGCACTCAAATTTCAGACTTGAATATTAAAGAGTAACATAAACAAAATAATTTTCATATACCTTTCAGAAGATGATCTGCTCTGAAACATTCACCTGTCTTTTGGTCTTTCACCATATAGTCAGAAAACCTCTCCACATGTCCAGAGGCCCTACAAAAATATCAACATACAATAAAGAATGAGAACCCAACATGCCAAGAATATCATAATTCATAAATTGGAAATAAATTCCATTAAGATATCAATACTATGAAAGAGTAGTACTCAATATAACCATGATAAGACCAAACACAACTCCACCCCTAAAGCTTCATGATGACAATTTTTAATCATTTATTAATTTACTGGTATATTCATATATTATTCTAACATAATTAAAATCATTTCTTGAGCATATTAATTCATACATATGCAAGCTATTTAAAAAAATTATTGTTACATTAAAATCAAATCAGCTCATGATTCTGAATAGTAGATATCAAAATTCTGAATAAAAACAGCATTTTGATAAAAATTAGCATACTAACTTGAAAACAACTTCTGGTGTTAATATGCTACAATCAACCTCCAGCATTCCCTCTTCAATGACAAAATGCTTACGCCACTCGTTGATGAAGTTGGACTTCATAGCGCAGCCGGTTGGACCAAAGTCATACAGGCCACTCACACCTGTGTGCAGGCAAAAAAGAGGACATATATTCAACAATGGAGGTCTATTCCATAATGATGCTTGAATTGCAAAATACAGGTTATAGCATCTTTTTAAATAAACTAAATGATATCACTGTTTGCATTTGGACTTCAATACAGTGTAGGTTTTACCCAGACCATGCAAAATTTGCCATGAGAATGGCTGTTCAAATGCATAATCCTAATGTTTAAATAGAAAACTATAAAATGATCGAATTTCAACTTTTAGGTGCACAAGAACACAATGAAACATTTCATTACGCACAATACCACCACTGCTGAGCTCAGCACTAATTTGTGCTCTTTAGGGGAAAACAGCCTGATTATTCTTCTGGAGTATAATTTGCAGGGCTTTGGTTTGACCATGAGGAATGATATACTGGCTGTTTGCAGTGCATTTATTTAGTCAAAACAGATACACGTTTAGCTAAAACAAAAAGTCCAATCCAAACAAGGCTATAGTTTAATCTGTATTTTAGAAAGTTTTGAATCTGAAAGAAAAAAAAATGTGATGACAGTTGTTTATCATAACATGATGAAATGAAATATTCACCTCCATAAATTGAGAATGATTGGTCATAGAAGAAGCGCCGTTTCAGTGTATCTTCCATCTTAGCACGATCAAAATTGTCTTTTGGCATGAGGGCTAGTTCCTGAAATAAAAAAGTATAAAAGTTTAGATTAAAAAATTACAAGATGAAACAATTTAGTAAATTTTTAAATTTGCTCAACTGTTAAATAATTTAAATGACAATTACAATCATAAAACTAATATGATCTGAATTGGAGCCATTCGGAATATAAGGATTGAAATTATAAAACCCCCTCTAATTAAAGACCATTCCCATTACAGACCACCTCCAATTAAAGACCACTTTTCTGTGTTCCCAACTTATCAAATGTCTTTTATCTTTATTATTCTAATTAGAGACCAAAGCTGCTAAAGAGCATGGAAACCCCAGTCCCCAAAATGGTCTTGAAGGGATGTATATTGCTCATTGGGAGAGAACCATTGCTTGAGCTAATTTCAAAACCTGGAATGGAAGTTAGACTATGATACCTTGTCTTCTAATGCCTTCTTCCGAGCCTTAAGCTCCACAATAGCCTTTTTGACATCTACTTCTGGTAAATTATCTTCTTTCATCTTGCGAACCAAGTCACCCTACAGACGGAACAAAAAACAATATTTCATTAATAATTTTAAAAAAATAATAATAACAACAATAATAATAATAATATTATAATACTTTATTTGTCCTCATTTAACATGCAATGGAAGAATTGGGCTTCGCCCCGGGGACCTGTGGCAGCCTCAGCATAGTACAACCCGTTTGTGACTATTGTTACACCAGTCCAGTGAAAGAATAGCCACGCTGCAAAATACAAAAGACCAAAAATATTGAAGGAGGCATTACAGAGGGCTTGTCTATATGGTAGACATCTGTATCTATATAAATATCCTAAGCTACACCAGGGAGTTATTATTAATAACAACTCCCTGGCTACAGGCCTAGCTAGGGCCTAGACTAGATTTTTAAATAACAATATTTAAACATACATACATTCATTGTTATGCCGTATTGCCTAGTAAGCTAGGGTAGACAGGGATAGGCCTGATTCTAACTAAATCTTACCTGCTCCTTAACCAGTTGCCTCAACGGAGCAAGGATCTCCTCTACGTTTACACCGGACATTTCAGAAATCTTGAGATCAAAATTCTTTCCAAATTTATTTTTCAATTCTTGTAATCGCTGCCTTGCTTTCCTTCCACCCCAGGCAGCCGAGGCTATGGAGCCGTGATCTCTTGCTGAATATTGCAGCCGTGCAAACGCAACACGTTTGCCGCAACGATGGTTGTTGTTAGCTAGCGCAGAGAGGCTAGGCCTAGAATTTATACCAAGTTTGTGCG